CTTGAAGCCCAGGCGCCGATTCGGGGCGACGGGCAAAGAAACATATCGATGCAGATGTGGCGGTAACTTCCTGTGGTAAAATGCGCACTGAATATCGCCCTGGGCCACGTAGAAGTCGCTGTCGGCCTCGAGTGCGCTCCATGCCGACGGAGTCGGCAATCTCGTAGAAGGACGGGCAGAGAAGGACATGTTGGCCACCCGCGTGTCGAAGACGAGGCGCAGGTTGACGCCGTTGGACTTCCCGACAAAGAAAAAACCAGTAGAGTAGGTAGCCTGACGATCGGCGACCTCCCACTCAAGCATGCCAGCCTGGCCCAGGCGCAACAGAAAATCAGCATACTCCCGAGGGCGAAACCGAAGGCGTGGATCCACATGGGGCGACCCCAGTCCCGAGGCCTTCCTGAGAGCAGCTGCATCAGCAGGGCCACGTAGCATTTGATGCTTCCACCCTGCCAACATAGAACGATCAGCTTCAGACACGAGGCCGGCCGTCGGGACCGGCGCCACGTGCTTCGGCCAGGAGACGAGCTCCTTGTTGTAGGGTCTTACCCGAGACTCTCCAGAGTACTCAGGCGCCGATGCGAGCAACTCTGCGAGGGCTGCCTCGCATCTCGGAGGAGATTCGGAATATCCAAGAGGTAGTTCAAAATCGCGATACTGTTGAGCAAGATACTCCTCAGCGTCACTACGAGCACGCGGAGGAAGACCAGGAGGCGGGCTGATCACATAGTTCGGGTCGCAGTGGTACATATCGTTGAGAGTGGACACCGCGTCGTTGTACCACTCCCGCCACGCAGCACCCCTGGCGGCCCGTCTGCGCGCCGACCCGCCCATGGATGAAATGCCTGATCTTCGCTCCACAGGAATAGGGCGGAAGGGGGGAAACGTCTCGCTGTCGAAAGGGTGGCGCAGCGAGGGGGCAATGAGCCTGGCTGGCGCCACTGTGGCGCGCCCCACAGCCAGGCCTGAAGTTCTCAGGCGTCATGGCGCCCGCAAGGCCCGCTCCTCGCGAGCCTTGCGGCGCTCTTTGCTGATGGCGGCCTCCGCCCTCATCTGGTCTGCGATGTACCCCAGCAACTTCGGCGAGATGCAGAGGTTGGCCTTGGAGACACCTGCGCCGAGGAAGTAGCTGGTCTCAGGCGAGCTGGAAGTCCCAGCTGAGGCGCCGCCTCTGGCCGCGGCCTTGGCCTTGGGGGCTGCGCCACTCGGAGGTGGCGATCGCGTCTCGTACACCCGCTCCTCCAGGAGCTGGAGTTGGCGAGCGATGATCTCGAACGATGCCATCTCGGCGATCTGCAGCTGATCGTACACGACGGCGAGGTCCAGGACGCGGCAGAGCGTCTCGTGCAGCTTGGCGTGCTCGTCCTCGCCGGGCAGGGCCATCGACGTGAGCCACCTCTGGTGCCACGCGGTGGGCGTGCCCGCCATCGTCGACATGAAGGACAAACACCAGAGGAGGGCCCTCGGCCCTTGCACGGGCCAAGCCTGCACAGGGGTCTCCGAGAGGGCGTTGACGGTCTCTCCGAACCTCCTCTCGCGCTCGCCCCTCGGGTTGAGCAGCATCGGGAGGACCCTGAAGTCGCCAACGGGGGCAGGTGCCCCAGGGGCGGCGGCGGCGGGCGCAGCCTCCACTGCAGGAGCGGGCACCAGCGGCAGAGCCCCCGCAGGCCCAGGCGGGGCGGCTCCCAGCGCTGCGGCCAGCGCAGCGACGCCAGGGGCGGCGCCGAGAGGGGCCGCCGCAGCGGCCGCGGCCGCGGGGGGTATCGCCAGCGGGGCCGCGCCCCCCGCAGGCAGCGCCGCCCCTTCCCCGCCGGGAGGTGGCGGCAGGGCCGGAGGCGGCAGGGCTGCGGCAGCCGCAGGGTCCGCCAGCGGGAAGGGACCAGGCGGGACGCCTACCACGTTGCCCGCCGCGAGCGCCAGCGGCAGAAGGTCGGGGGGCCTCGGGTAACCTGCGGCCACCGAGCGCGCGACCGCCGCCCACAGCTCCGCGGCCGTCGGAAGGCGGCGGAAGCGGTGCACCGCGACGCCCGCCAGCGCTGGCGGCGTGTCGCCTTGGCCAGCGAGCTGCAGGACCGCGCGCACGTCGGGGCCGACGACGATGGGCTCGTCGTAGTCGTCGAAGTCGGGCGCGAGGATGTAGCCGAGGCCCCCGTTGACGCCAAGCAAGAGGCGTTCGTGCCACAGGGGTACGCCGCCGACGCGGTAGCGTAGCACGTGGAAGCTGCCCGCCATCACTACAGCGCAGGGGCGCGGGCTCTGGCGTCACGAACCTGCTTAGCCGCGAGGGCGGCGATGTCGATGCCGTCCACGAACTCCACCACGGCGGGCGGCTGGCGGGCCGACTGTCCGAGAAGCCGCGGCGCCGCCCAGGCGCCTCCCACGGCCCCGAGAGCGAGGCCGATGGTCAGCGCGGCCACCGAGTAGGCCGTGACGAGGCCCAGACAGGAGGGCTCGACCACGTGCCCGCCCGCGCCAGCGCAGACGCAGGCGGGGCAGGAGAGGGTCGGAGGCGCGGGGCAGGCCAGGTGCGGCGAGCAGGCCCCGCAGCTCGGCGCGGCGGCCCGCGCCACGACAGTGGCCCCCAGCGCCTGCGCCCCGTACCTCAGGACGTCCGCCGCATGGTGGGCGATGTCTTGCATCACTGGGCAAGACACCTGAGAGACTTGAGAATGGAAGCGCGGCCCGAAAGAGAGCCACAAATAGCCGCGGGCAGCATAATGATGATGATGATGATGATGATGATGATGATGATGATGATGATGATGATGATGATGATCGCACTCCCCTGAGCGCGCCAGAGAGGGGGGCAGTTCAGCTGCCCTCTGCCGCGGGCCTCCTGATGAGCAGGCTCCGCACGCCGCGCCCCTTCTTGGCAATGTGGCGGGCACGCGCGCGCAGGAGAGGCAGCAGGCATTCGGGCCCGTACCTGTGCGAGCTCCTCAAGGAGTTAAAGGTAGAAAAAAGCAGGTCGTGGACAAGAAACAAAGAGAACAGCTGCTGATTAGACTGGCATGGCATAGTGCACAGCATACGCGCATCGAGGCTCTGATTCAAATGTTCGACTGGCAGGAAGGGCAAAACAGAATGGAGCAAGCTCAGGACATGAGGGCAATCGAAGTAATGCTGGACGTGGTCGCCGCCTGTGGCCAGGCAACCGAAACGGCAGGTAAGACGGCCTTGCCTATACCTGGCAGAGGTCGCCCACGCGTTGCAGATGGTTTTGAGAATGGCCGCAGCCACAAATGGGCCGACGCGCGTGCAGGCAATTTGGAGCCTGAGCACCGCAAGGTCGATACTAGAGGCATCAGCAAAAGGAAAAGCGAACCGAATTCGATTGCCCAGGAGAAAACTCGCGGAGCTACAAGGGGCCTCAGAAAGCAATTTCTTCAAAATCTGTCTCTGCAACTCGTGAGTGTCCTCATCGAAGTGGTTCCACGGCAGGGCAGTTAGTCGCTCGTAATTGTGAATCAGGTGGAAAACAATGGACTCGGCACGCCATGCCGGGTATCGCTTGACCATCAGAACATCCAAGTCCTCTTCCTCAAGCTCATGAAAGCGCTTCCGAATGCTATCAAAAACCTTAGACCGAACAGCGACCCGATACATGGCAGCCTGATTCTCCAGCACTAGGTTGCGCGGGGCAATGGGCCAATGCAACGCAGACGAGAGATTGCGGAGAAGATCAGTAGGGATGCTGTAGAAGGGGCATGCGGTGAGAGTCTGCAAACCTTTGGTTTCCATGCGAAGAGCGTCCTGCGATATGTAACATAGCTGCATCACGAAGGTGAGAACCGAGAAGGCCAAGGAGTTATATGCATAGATACTTTGAGTAAGCCCAAGACGAAGCGACCGAACATGACGGACACGATTAATATATTTCTGAAGCGGAGCGGACCAGGATTTCTTGTAACCTCCAGGGCCCAGAAAGACACCCAAGACTTTGCCACTAGTGCCGTGCATAAGCGAATGATGATGATGATGATGATGATGATGATGATGATGATGATGATGATGATGATGATGATGATGATGATGATGATGATGATGATGAGAGGAGGGGACAAGGGAGGAGGAGGAGACGCGGGGACCGTCTCTTCAAAACGAGGACCCAACAACACAGGTTGGTTGGGAAAAATATCAAACAATGCAGCGCAATGCAAAGTAATGGGGAGCAATGCAAGTCGAGCGGCGACGAGGCGACGGGCGGCGACGAGGCAGCGACGGCGTCGACATGGTGGCCAGAGCAGCTGGAGACGGGCGGCGACAAGGCGGCGAGGGCGGCCACATGGCGGCCAAAACGGCCCGCAGGCCCAGGCGACGGATGGCGACGGGCGGCGACGAGGCAACGACGGCAGCCACATGGCAGTCAGATCTGCCCGCAGGCCCAGGCGACGGGCGGCGACGAGGCGGCAACGGCGGCCACATGGCGGCCAGAGCGGCCCACAGGCCCAGTTCTGTAGAAGACAAGCAAGAACCCCTAAGTGCAAACACTGCTTGGTTGACAAAAATCCAGAGATCTCCAAGGAAGTCCGGAACATATTGTAGAAGCTCCAGCGCAAGCCTAGGGACAGCCCAGGGACAGCAACCAAAAATCTTGGGAGCATGGGGTCGGTGTGCGCTTCTTTCAGGGGGGCGCCTCGTCCGCGGCACTACATGGCGGGTTCCAGAAAACCTGAACCAAAACACCGTGCCATCTCTTGGGAGGCCAGTTTTCACTTCGGCCGGCTTCCGCTGGCCGTTCGGCCACAGAGGCGGCCTCGCTTTACTCCCGCCAGTTTCCGCCGCGATCCTCGAAGGCGGGGCCCTTGCTGGAACGCCTCATGACTGCAAACCCGACGGGCCGCCCCGAACACTGGGCGCACTAGAGCGGGTGAAAAAGCATACAGCGGCCGCGGAAGAGGGGGAAAGGAGGCCCGGGCCGCCGAGAATCGGCGAAGCGGCACTGCATGCAGGAGGCCCCTCCATCAGGGCGAGGGCGGAGTGGGCCGGGGCTCGCGCTCCTCCAGGCTCTGTGAGAGGTCCTGGTCCTCGACGTCCTGGGCCAAGCGGGGCCAGCCACCCTCGGGGGCCTGAGCGTGGGAATTGGCACCAACGCCAATCCAAGGGATAGTTAGTTGCCTCCACCAGGGAAGATGAGCCTGAACTTTGGTGCTGGTGGTAATTTCTCGGCCGCGTGAGAAGCCCGCGCATTACCACCATCACCGAGATCTCCCCCCGGTGGAGGCAATGATGTTTGTGTCAAACTCTCGGCCTCCGACCCTCCTCTTCCGCAACACCTGCCCAGTCGGACGAAAAGGGGGGTTCTCAGAGGGGATGGCATGGAACATCGACTCAAGCAATTGATTTGTCTGGCCCCACAGGCGCCGACAATGTCGCGGAAAGTGCCCGGCGGCGTAGGCGAAACCAGCTGCACGCAACAGATCTCGTACCCCCCCCCGTTTGCCTATCCCCCCCCCTCTCGTCCGACCTGGCTCTTCATTCCCCCGCCTCCCTTCCTTCCGAACCGCTTGAAGCACCCTCCGGTCGGCCGGTCGGGGCGCCCGGCCGGTCGGGCCCCGCAGCATGGCGAGCCTTGCCCGCAGCTTCCCCTCCTTCAGGGCCGGGGGCGCCCGACGCCAGAGCGGAGGGCGCCCCAACTTGCGGCATCCCGTCCTCCTCCTCCACTTAGCCACTGCAACGCCGCACGCGGCATCCGCTGAGTGATTTATCATTCGTGCGATCACAATTTGATGTAAAAGTAATGGTATACTTTCGGAGATGGGCAGAAACACTTCAGCAATTCCCAGTAATGAAATTGGCCCAAGACCAAATTCAGCGGGTGCAGGCCCGCAAAACTTGCGGCCGGAAAACTATCTTGATAACCGAAAAACAAAACAGAAAAAGGCAAAATTCCCTCATCGACATGGCAAGGTGGATGTTTTGTCAATCTCCGATATCTACGAATTGATTCGCTTCCCGTTGCCGTGCTAATCCAATGTGTCTTGGGGTCTCTTGGGACCGTTGTGAAACCGTCTGGGGGGCTGGTTGGGTCGACTTGGGGCCCATTTGTGGCCTGCCTGGTTGGAGCGTTCTGACCGGTTTACTGAGCCGTGTTCGGGTTCCCGCTGGCTGTTTGGAACCCATTCCAAGGGCCCTGCTGCGAAGTCTTAAGGCCCTCGTGGGCTATCTTGGGCCGTTCTTGAGCCTGCCGGGCCACCCTCTGGACCCCTTTTTGGGAATTTGGAGTGCATTTGGTTTTTTTTGTTGCGAAAACTTGGGGGCACCTGGGCCGGCTTGGCGGCTCTGAACACTAAGACGGCGAATGCGCCAAACTCGCACTCAACTTCGCCAGCGCGGCCACAAACCTGAGTGTTTCTAGATTCTATGAGTTTGTGCGGTGCAATATTTGTGGTGCAATTCACCCTGCCGGCCTTGACGTTGTCAACTCTACTGCTCGCGCAAACATCCCACCCACCCACCCGCAAGTTGGTTTGCAAAACCCATGCGACAGCGATTGCGATGAGTGTTTGGCGTTGGCCGGTGCATCTCTGCGGCCGCGCTAGCCCACGCATGCTGGCGCGCGCTGCGACCAGCTGGTGCGGCGCGGCCGACGCGGCCGCGTTGGCGCTGACTGCTGGGCACTTCCAGCGGGCGCTTCAGTGCGAGTCGGTGACGTGGGCGGGCGCGGTATCATGGCGACGCCGTTACGGACCAGTACGGACTTGCGGGTGGGCGGGCCATTACGGACGCGCAAAAATGTTTATGAAGATCGAGCGGCGCCCGCCTGACGTCGCTGTTTGTCAGAAAAAGAAGAGACAGCTACATAACCCCCCAACCACTCTAGCAAAAACGTCCACCAAGACAGACACACCCCCGGCTGAAAAAACGGAAAAACGGCCCACATTACAAATACACCTCGGCTACAACTGCTGGGCGTCTTGACCTCCAAAAAACCTGTCATCAAGAATCCTCAGCTCCCGACCGAAACTGGCAACTTTCTACTCGTGCTACAACCGCCACCCGTACAGCGCACTGCAATGACTGCTACTTCCCATGTAGCAACTGCCCCGATCAAATCCGCGATCCAAATGTCGCCTGCCCTGCGGATGGCAGTCAGTCAGACTGGCGCAGGACGAAACTTCGGGCTGCGCCCGTGGAGCGAGGGGCCCCAGCCGAAAGTGGGGAAGGTGCAAGTACATCCTTATTACTGGGAGAGCCTCGTTGTAAGTGGGTCATTCTATATCAGATGAAAGTGACGCATTCAACGCGCCGCGAGAGCCCCTGGGACACAACGGCCCCCAGGAGGCACAGAAAGCTTTCAACCGCAACCCAAGCCACGGCCGTTTTGAAACAACGCAGGGGCCCGATTGGGCAAACAGCAGGCGTGCTCTCGGTGAAGGTGGCGGCCCGCTCGCGGGCGTTCCATCCTGACCAAATTCCGCCCATTGCCGACTCCTCAGAAGATCAACCGGAGACGCGACGCTGGGGCGGCGGCCCGCTGGCGGGCGTTCCATCTCTGCGACGGGCCCAGCCGTCGCGGCTTTCAGAGCGGGGCAAGATATCTATTAGGCTTGGCATTGGGCCACGAGAAGACTTGAGAGCAAAACAGTAGCGGAAACGATTGCAACATCGACCCGAGGCCTCCCATTCACACCCGTGCACGCACATAAATTACTGGGAAAGCCTTGTTTTAAGTGGGTCATTCCATCTCAAATGAAAGTGACGCAGTCAACACACAGCGAGAGCCCCTGGGACACAACGGCCCCCGGGAGGCACAGACAACTTCCGGCCGCAACCCATGGCGCGAAGATCCAGGCGTCCCGAAACGCGGAGAATTACCACATCTTGGTCCAAGCCGGCTGCTGGCGGGCCCGCGCGGGCCCCGTCGGGTTTCTAGCAATCAGACGGCGCAGCATCGGGGGGTAGGGCTGGGCGATGGCTGTCCACCTATTCCCATTGGGCCCCCCCCGTAAGATGGAATGTGCTACACCTGTGCGAGCACGCATACGTTGTTTACCCGTGCACTTCATTCTCGCGACCTGATCTGAATCCCGGGCACGCACATTGCCAGCGAGTGTTCGGGCCCTCGTTCTCCAGGGAGTCCCCATCATACAAAAATCACAAACCACTCCATCGACGCGCGGTGAAGCTCGAATAATCTGCGCCTGGGGCGTCAACCACATTCCACTGGTAAGCGGGTTATCCCAGGCCCAGGGCGCCGACAACTTGTGTAAACGCTGCGTTATCCAGAGAGTGGCTCGCAGGCAAAGGTTGCCTTCATCTACATTCTGCTGCTCGTCTCCAGGCAAACCGGGCAGGCCCCGCGGCAAGGCGCGGTTTCGGACCATGCGGGCCCGATCGAGAGCGATGGAACAACTGGGGCATGGCGGGGCCAAACACGCGGCAAGGACTTCACCCTCGCGGGTCATCTTCTTGATGATTCTCCTTAGCCCTGGCCAAGTCATGCCCCCCCCCCCCCCACCACCACCACCACCACCACAGAAAAAGCGCCCGATCCCACGCGACGGCTTCAAAACCTCCCGATCTCACAGCCCTGGCGCCACCACCAGAGCCCGAAAACGAATCCAAGCTGACGCCATCTCTCACGGCGGCGGAGGCCAGTCGACGGCCCTCAACCCTAGGACAAACTCCCAGACGTGTGCCTCGCAACTTCTGAACCACTCATGTCGGGCCTCGGAGTGCTCTGCCATCTGCATGGCCAGGCGTCCGCGCTTCTTGTATATGGCCAAGCTTTTTGTCGTGACCCAGCAATCTCTTGGATATGCTGCAAAGTGCGAATCCCCCTTCAGCCTGTCCCAGCTCGGACCCGAGTGGCGCATGTGGTAGGGCACTGCATCTACGCCGATCAGCTTCGACGCGACTCTGAATGATCTCAGCGCGCGCGGGTAGTCTAGAGCCCACAACGGCTGACCTCGGGGCCTCTGGCGCAGCACCTCGAACGCCGAGTTCATGAAGAACAGGCGCGGCGCATCCCAGAGCAGGCTGTCGTAGAAGGTGCCCACTTTGGTCGGCACTCCCCTGTCCTCTGGCGCCACTAGCAAGCCCCAATTGTTCGACACCCCCGTCGCGGGCGCAATCAGATCCTCGGGCTGCATCCTCAGGCCCTCGCACGGCCTCAAGTCGAAACCGAAAGCGACTGGCACCCACAACCCCACTTCCAGTTCGCCCAGCTGGATCAACGCCGTGGCCAGGCCAGCCACAACCAGAAAATGGTAGGGCTTCCGCGCGGGGCCGGGCACTAGCCGCTTCCAGCCCTTCAAAGCACGGCCGCTCCTCGGGGGGCGCAGGGCGCCGTGCTCGCCGCACTCGGGGAAGATGGCCATCCGCGCCGCCAGCAGCTTGACTTCGTAGCTGCTGTGCTCGCGGTGCCGCAAGTTCATGAGATGAGTCAGCAGCTGGTCGACGTCCTCGGCGCCGTGGGCGGCAAGCTCCCGCTCCCGCGCGAAGTCCAGCGCGATCCTGACGCGGCACCCTGGGCGCCGCGCTTTTCCCCTCCAGGTGGCGAAGCCCTTCCTCGGATCCAAGTTCACACCTCTCTCCTGGCGACTCGTCTTTCTCGCACAAGGCTTTGCAACCTGGCTCTCGCTCTCGCTGCCCCCCTCCGACACGCGATCGACCGAGGCCTCGCCCCCGTCGGTCTCCTCGAGGCCCCCTGCAAGCCTCGCCGGCCTGCGGCGCAGCTTTGAGGTCAGCGAGCGGAGGGCCGCGGACCCGGCCGGCACCCTGCGGCGGCAGCTAGCAGCGGACCCCGTCGGCCGCGGGCTCGGTGGCAGTGCGGCAGCGGCCGCGGTCAACACTCGCGAACGGCTGCTTGGTGGCTGCTGCTGGACGTCGCTGGGCCGCCTTGGAGTCTCTGGAGGGTTCATCAGCGACGTTCCAATCTGACGGAATCTATTTGATAGCTGGTAGGATCTCTCCCTTTACCTGAGTCAACATTGCAACATCTCGTGCCCGGCACCGTTCGAAGGCTAGCACCGTCCCCAGGTTGTCACCTAGATAGAGCTTGCGCACGCCAGCCCCTGGCCTGGCTCGCGCGCCCCCCTGTGCAACATCGCCGCAGCCGCGCGGGCCCCTGGCAGGGTTATGCGCTCCGCCGCCCGCCAGCGACCTCGAAGGGTGACGCGCCATTTCTCCTTGTCCAGCAGCCTCTTGGGAATCCCTGGGAAGTCCGCGACCTCCTTCAAGACCTCATTGGGCAGGTCGGCGTCGACATCATCGACGCCCCCCATGCCCGCCTGCTGCAAAACATGGGCTCTGGCGGAGGGAGGCAGAGGTGAGGCGACACCTCGACCTCTCAGGTGCTGGTCCGTGCAGAGCGGCGGCCTCTGCCCCCCACGAGGTAGAGCGGCTTCCCCAACCAGCTTCACTGGCGTCGCCGGCATCGACCGCCCCGCTCCAGCAAAGCCCCCACCCAGCAAGGCAGTGATCTCGGCTCTCACCGAGGCCCACATGGGGAACAGCCAAACGCGGCGCGCCTGCACGAACTTTCACATGGCGTGGATACCGGAGATAGTCTGGCGGACCAACGAACCAACGTTCCTGCAGTGGCCCGCGCAGACCTCCACCATGTGCGTCGAGACCTTCCGCCTTGCCAGCGGCCAGCGCAACCCTGCGCCCAGCCGCCAGTAGCGGGCCGCCGTGAGCCGCGTCTCGCGCCTCTCGGCGTCGAGCTCAACGCCCGGGCTGTCCATGGCCAGCGGCCCCCCCCAAGCGATCGCGCATTGAGAGCCCCGCCTGCTCGAGAGACTCGCGCGCGCCCGCGAAGCCAGCTGCCCCGCGACTGCGGTCTGCGTCCAGCGCGCCCAGGTTGTCGACGCACGCGCAGTGCGCTGTCGGCGCCTCCGCGCGCAGCACTGCAGGCCCACGGCGATCCGCCGTCGGCGGCCGCAGCTCCAGCCCAGGCCCCCGCGCCGCGCGGCGCTCGTTCACGCGCTTCGCCGCGACGAGATCCCAGCTGAAGCAACTTGGAAAACTTGCGCAGCAGGGCCGCCGCAGCTCGTCGGCCGCGCCGACATCCGGCCGCGCGCGCCCCGGCAGCCCAGCTGCCCGCGCCGGCAGCGGCGGCGTCGCAAAGAACTCTGCGGGCTCCTCGCGCATCCTCAAGCGGCGCAAGCAGTCGGCCACGTCTGCCTGGGCCAGGTGCACGTCATCGGTCTCCGACTGGAGCTCGATGCGCCCGAGCCCCTCGGCCGTGCGCAGCTGGACTTCTGGTGGTGGCTTAAACGGCCCGTCCACAGGTCTCGCATCTGTGATCATCCGAAGCGCTCCGCTTTTCTTCTTGACAAAGAACAGCGATATGAGGCGCATCGGGCTTCTCGTCCAATGGGCCATTCCCCTCTGATCAAGCTGGCGCGCGAACCTCCTGTAGAGCCCAGGCGGCGACTCCAGGCGGCGATCCACGCGCGGCTTCGCAGCCCCAAAGCTCTGGCCGAGTTCGTTCACCTCCTCGGGGCTCCGCCGGTTACGTTCGATGAACCTCTCGAGCAAGTCGCGGGCGCGTGTGCCCCCGATCAAGTCAGCATACCTCGCGTCGCGGACGTCGTCGGGGAGCGACGCATTGCCCCCCTAGTAGGGCGCCGCAGTCGCGTGCACCTGGTCGGCTTCCTCCTCGCACAATATGCGATCTGGCGCCTGCCAGCTGTGGGCGGCCTTCAGCGCGCGCGTGAAAGAGTGCAACGAATTATTTGGTCGAGACGTCTCGATACCGTCGGCGAATCTGCCTAATCACTTTCTATGTCGAGTGTGCGTCCCAGCTCCGTAGCCAGCCTACAGCTCGAATGAAGTAGAGAAAAACGAAAATCATCTCTCAAAAAAACTGCAGGGTACGAGTCGTTTTTTGGCCCCAGCTCTGATAGCAGACCGATATCAGGCATCTAGATACTTAAGACTAGCGCTCCTGATGGTTTCCTTTCGATTGCTGTACCGGGCAGCTCTGTAGCTCATGTACAGCTCGCGTTAAGTTAAGAAAACCGACAGCACCTGCCAAGATGACGCTCAAAACCAAATCCCGCCTGAGTGCTTTTGGATAATAATATCCATCCGATCGACATAATATCAAGATGGCGAGCGGGAGTAATATCGAATATGGGGGAAATATTCGAGCTCTAACAAATTCTTGAATTTCGAGAAATTGATTTTTAATATGCCCCCAAAAAAGAAAGACAAAACATCCGTCGAATTTTTTCGAGCCAAGTCGCCCGTCAGCGCGCCGCAATTATTCTCAAGCTTCGCCGCTTCGCTCTTAGGGAAGCTCTACGAGTCCCTGATCTGGGGGGTGGGTGGGAAATCAAATAGTTCAATGGCCTGGAACACCGTGGACGATGCGGGGCCGCATGATCATGGGGATGCCATGTGATGTTCATACGGCGTTTCCTCCTTCGCTATTCCTCCCCCTGCTCCCCCTGCTCCTGCTCGCGCCGTTATTCCGCCTCCTTCCCTCGCGTTCGCCCTGTTTTTCCTCCACATCATGATCGGTGTGATTGCCATCGTTCCTGCCTGCATCGCCCCCCCCCGCCGCGCTCCTCGGCCTCCCGCTCTCCTTCTCTGGAGGGCGCCGGGGGCCGCTTGGCGCATCCTGTCCGCAGATCTCTCAAGGCCCACAGGTCGCATGACGCAGACGTCGTTGTCAAATCTCTTGGACGCCTACCCGGCAGACGGCTTGGCCGCCAGCGTGGCGACTAAAGTGGAGATAGCCTTCAAGCCCGGCAGCGGGAATTCTTGGTTCCAATCGGTTTTGCGGAAGCTGCGCGTCCGCGTGGGCACGGCCTTCGTGGATGCACCACGGCAACCGTCGTTGAAGGCTTGCGCGGTCGACTTGGAACTCCTGCTGGAAGGCCGCCTAAAGTGCCCAGGGAGCTGCGCAAGCACGGCGTCGCACACAGGGACGCGTGCCGCGGCGTGATGAATTTGGGAGCGGCCACGGACAGGGGCTACTTCGGCGCTCTAACCTTTGGCCGTGGCCCCCATGTCATCTTGTGGTCATGAAGAAACGAATCCAGGGGCGCCAGGCGCCCTTTTCCCCAGCAGCACCGCGCATCCGTTTCCGCCACTGTTTGGTGGCAATCGTTCCGCTCGCGTGCCACAACTTCCGCGTTGCCGCCGCATTAGCGCTCGCGACGCAAATCCGGCGCTACCCGCGCGGGACAACGCGGCACCGCTCCAGAAATCCCAGCTAACGGGGCAACACGAATTCCTGCGAACCCATGATTACGCCCAGGGTTTCGGTCAGTTACAGAAGCCCACAGTGAGCACTATTCCCAAAACGCCTCTCTTCAGTGAGTGACAGACACCCCAACGTAACCTTTGTACCACAAGCCCATATGTATCAAAATCCGTACAATTTCCCTGAGCGGGCCCTGGGTGGGATCTTGGGGTGGTCTTCTACACTCCCGGGCATGTGCGTCACCTATGAATTAGAACCCCTTCGCGGCCAGGAGTAGGCCGTCTCCACGGGGCCGCTCAGCTGCCGCAAGACCGGCTTGAACAAGGAGCGCCCGCGGCCAAGCCTGAAGGCCACCTACACTTCGGTCGCCGCGCTGGCGGCCAAGCCGTCAGCTGGGCAGGCGCCCGAGAGGGCTCACGACCACTTCTGTGCTATGCGACCCTTGGGCCGCGAGAGTTCTGCAAACAAAAGGCCTCGTGAGACCCCCAGAAGCCTCCAGAGAAGCAAAGCGGGAGACGGCACAGGGCGGTGGTGAAGGAGATGCATGGAGGAAGGGTGGGAATTTCCTGAATTACTGTCAGGAGGCTGAGCGGGGTGGTTGAGAGGGCAGGAGGCGCAAGGGGAGGGCGGGAATACAGAGGAAAGAGGGTCGAGGGAGAAAAAACTGAGTATAAGTTAGCCCAGTGCGACCCTACCTAGAAGTTGGAGCTCCGAGGAAAGCAGCATGCGTTGCTATGCTATACTATGCTATCTTGTGCTATGATATGCCATGCTACGCTGCGCTATGCTATGCTATGCTATGATATGATATGATATGTTATGCTATGCGTTGAGTTGCTGCTATGCTATGCTATGCTCTGCTATGCTATGCTATGCTGCGCGGTGCTATGCTGTGCTGTGCTGCGCTATGTTATGCTATGCTATGCTATGCTGCGCTATGCTATGGTATGCTACGCTATGCTATGAGATGCTGTGCTGCGCTATGCTGTGCTACGCTCAGCTATGCTATGCTGTGTTATGCTATGCTAAAGCTCGGCGAAGCTAAGATGAAGGTAATCTAAGCTACGATAAACCTGAGCTACGATAAAACTAAGCTAAGCTAAGATGAAATAAGCTAAACTAAGATGATATAAGCAACGCTAAGCTAAGGGGACGTCACTAGGGGAACCACGGGGCGGATGCTGGGGGAACCGCCCGGGGCGTTTTGCACTGCCCGGCCCCTCAAGCCAACACAGTAAGAACCCTTCTAGGCAGAGCCTAGGTAGGGAATTACACCCATGCTATGATATGCGATGCTGCGCTATGCTTTGCTACGCTATGCTATGCTATGCTGTGCTCTGCTATGCTAAAGCTCAGCGAAGCTAAGATGAAGGTAACCTAAGCTACAATAAAACTGAGGTAAGATGAAGCTAAGCTAAGGTAAGATGAAATAAGCTAAGCTAAGATCAGATAAGCAACGCGAAACTAAGGGAACGTCACTGGGGGAACCGCGGGGCGGATCCTGGGGGAACCGCCCGGGGCGTGCCCCACTGCCCGGCCCTTTAAGCCTAATACTAAGAACCCTTCTAGGCAGAGCCTAGGTAGGGAAAGAACATCGGAAATTATGTATGAAGACGCTAGTTTTCTTGAAGACGGTGCGACACACGCGGGGACCTGCTTCACGTGGGGGTGCTTGCAAAGACCCGAGCTAAACACGCGGCGAACAAATCGACGGTCAGCGAAGCGAGCCTGGGCCTCGCCACAACGGACCAGACAACCATGCTCATATCGTGGCATACGGGAAGCCGGCCTCAGTATACGTCGGTAGTTGCGTCCTTTCAAGAAAGGGCCGCTCTGCATGTCTGCTCTCGCTGGCCGTTGCGTGCCCCGTGGGCTTCCGCCGAACGGGCATTCCTCCAATGACGAGGCTTGGCAGCAAGAAAACGAGTCCTGGGGGAAACGGCTCCTGGACCCCAGGGCCTTCCCCCGGGACCAGGACCAACCGTTCGTTCCGAGTCGCTTTCTGATAATCCTGGGGCCAGGGGGGGGGGCCCAGGGAGAGAGAGGACGGCGGAAAACCTTAGGCCCGTTTCCTGTCCAGCGCGCTCCCGCCCAGAAAATCGAATCCCTGACGCATCCCACACGTGGCGGCGCGGGCGCCCGCCCGCCGTGGCGGCAGCCGTCGCATTTGTTTGAGTTCTAAGATGAAGCCGGGCTCGGGGCAAAATTTGACCGGGATAAAAATCATGTTCGGTTTTTCAAATCACCGGGGGCGCCGCCGAACGGGCCTGCCACGCCTTGGGCGCCATCGGCATCGCGAGGGAAGAAAAGCGCCCCGGCGCGGATTCGGCCACGCGCGCGACCGAGGGAATTCAGCGCCAAGCGCCTTTCACTCCAGAAGGCCCGACGTCAACAAAACAAATTTGAGGCCCAAAGGGGGCCCCAAGGAGGCGGACCGCCAAAACAATCACGCAACCAACGCAACGACAAAAACACGAAAATGTCAAAAATCGCGTTCCTCAGTGACCTCTTCGGCCAAGCAACACCGCGATAATGCCCAAGACGGCATTGGGAAAAAAGTCACGCGCGCGGCCAGGCGACTTCCCCGCGCCGCCCCAAGGTTCCCGAAGCGCGCCGAAATAACCGTAGAGAACACCCCTGAAAGTCTTTGGGGAATCCCCGCGCCATGCAATATCCGCCACTGAACAATCTCGCGGACACCTAGCGCGTGCGCGCGGGCGTCCACCATGGATGCCCAACTCCGGTTTCCGAGACAATCGCGCGCAACCGCCTGGGGGCCTCGGCAACCTCGCAATTGGCCCAGGGGCCCGACGGCCCAAGGGAATCGAAGACCGAGTTCGCAACTCCGGAAGCATCGGGCGCGGCGCCAGCCAGTCGCTCGTCTCTGGCTGTCAGTAGGACGCCTGGAGACCCGGTAAAACCTAGGGAACCGCTGTTCAGAGATTCGCAGAACCAGAAACCGGGGCGCGCCAAATTCTCGCGTCCGAACTTCTCTGAGAATCTCTGAAAATCTCTGAACTAGCCACCCCGCGTGAAACATTCCCATAAACCCAAAACCTCGGAGCTGGCCGAAACTCTCTGAGAGTTTTTCGGTCCGCGAAATTTGGCGCGCCCGGATTTCTGGTTCCGAGATCCTCTGAAATCGCGCTGCGGCGGCGCCCAGCAGGTCCTCGCACGCCCAGGGTGGGGGCCGTGGACATCGCGGGCCGCGATGGTCCCGACCGCGAGGTCCTTCCTCCTGCCCCTCGACGAGTCCACGCTCATGGACACGCTCTCTGCGCTGAGCGTGGACCGCGCCATCCGCCGGTAGTTCTGCGCGACGACAGCCAACTGGCCGCCGACGGACAAGGCAATTTTTCTCCGAACTGCGCGTGCCACCGAAAACGTACAATAGCCCCGGGCTCGGGGAGAAACACTTTCGAAGCATTTTCAGGCCGCCAGCGTCGTGGCTGCCGACCCGCCGCGCGCCGACCGAGAGACTAGCTGGGCCCACTACGTCCACGGCGGCGGGCGGGCGCCCAAGAGAGCTGTCGCCACGGTGCGCGCGGCGGGGCGCCCGCCCAATTGCAACCGCAAATGCGGCCTCCATGGCGCCACAGGCGTAATATGTACGACGCATTCTCGGGCCCCCCATCAGCGCATTGGCAAGCGCCCAAGTCCCTGAAACGCAAACCTACTGCGCCCCCCGTGCAAGCCGCGCACCCGCCCACATTGCTCGTGCACACCAGATTTTCTGCCCGCCCCCAACAGTTTAATTGAGCGCCCATGTGTTACTTGGGCTCCTCAAGCCCGCGAAAACTCTTTGGGAACTTCTGCGAATGCGCGCGCTACGCTCCACAAATCGGCGTTCTATTTTTCTCTGGAACTCTCCCAGAATCTCTGGTTCCGATTTGTCCCGATCTTCCGCTCAACTGAAGTTCTGACCCCTGGATAATGACTGTTGATCCCTCCCCGCTGGCCGGCACTGGATCGTCACACTCAGAGCGAGCCACACACGCAAATTTATGGCCATGGAGAGCGTTGGTGCTCAAGCTTCGCTGTCGGGCCTCCGCGACACCAGCAACCGCTCTCGCCTGATCCGCCCTCGGAGTTTACTCAAGGATCGCGCTCTCGCTCCAGACATCCACTCCCAGATTTGGGTCTCGCCAGGGACCTCCTCACAACTTGCTCAGATAACGCGGGCTCGCCTTTCAGGAATCGCGCTTTCGCCTGGGACATCCGTACAATTTACTGACGGATTGCCCTCTCGCCTGGGGCATCCTCGCCAGACTTCCTTGCGACTTTACTTACGCATCGTGCCTTCGCATACGGAATCACGCTCTTTCCTGGGACTTCCCCGCCGTCATCTTCACTGTTCCGCCCGCTCGACCCGCTCGGTAGGGGCCTGCCCATTTGACCCGCCTGTCAGGGTCCGTCCGCCCGACCTGTCATCAAGGTCTGACCGCCCGACCCGCTCGTTAGAAGGCCCGCCCGCCCGACCCGACTGTCAAAGTCCGCCGCCTGGACCCGCCCCGCCCGCGGTAATGTCCCGCCCGACCGACCCACCTGGTAGGGTCAGCCCATTCCCTTGCTTGGAAGCCCCCGCTGCCCTAGTGTCCCGCCCGCCCGTCCCACCGATTGTGGTCCGCCCGCCCGACCTGCCCGCCAGGGTCCACCTGCCCGACCCACTGGTCCGACCCTATCGGGCTTTACACAGGAGCTGACATGAGAACAAGAAGCACTCAAAGGGGCAGGTTCATGAACGAAGACGGCGGGAGTCGAGGGTTTTGGGTATACATGTTGAACGGCAGGTGTGCGATGAAGCGCGAATAGTCTGAACATGTTTGTTGTTCTGGTGCGTGCGCATGTGTGTCATTGTGCGTGGGTGTCTGTGGTATAGTCGGATGCATGTACATAAGCATATACATATGCAGACACGCACATTGGGGGTCCTCTCGGTGCAAGCGCGTCCCTCCCAAGTGTCCTCGAGAACGAGGCGGCGCCACTTCATCTGCTTCCCGAGCTCCTCAGGGACAGGCCCCTCCCTCCCTCCTGCCTCTCCTCTTCCCCCCTCCTCCTCCGCCTCCTCCTCCCCTCTCCTTCTTCCCTCCATCGCTGTTCCTTGTGGGTAACTCGTGCGGGCTGGGCGTTTCGCGTGTGACAACCGGACCATTGATGGCGGCTGGTTCTCAAAATGTGGCTCTCGCCTCAGCGACGCCCTCATTGTCCAAACAAGTTTGCAGCGGTTTCACGGATGGAGGGCGGCTGGTGCTCAAAAAATGGCTCTCGCCATGGCACCGCGCACATTCGTCGCAAAAGTCTGCAACTAATTCAAGAAAGGAGGACGGATCCTTTCCAAAATGTGGCTCCCGCGATTTAGAATCGCTCACATTCGATTTCAAAGTTCGCAGCTGATTCAAGGGTTCGTTTGTTTGACGTCCCCATAACGGTGTATTGGCAGGGTTCAGGATTATACGGACGTAACAGTCGCGTTGCTTCGCGGTGCCGAAGTCTTAGGAATGGTGATCTGGCGCGACTAAGGATTGCCAGGACGCAAGAGTAGTGCTGATTCGCGGCAATGATGTCAAAGGATGGTGTTTTGATGCGATCGAGGATTCTCAGACGGTTGTCAGAACGTTGATGCGTCTTGGGTTTATTTATACTGGTCCTCCTCCTCTTCGCCTTGCTCCCCTTGTCCTCCTCCTCTTTTTTCTCCCTCGGGCGGTTGCGCTGAGCACCTCGGGGGGTGGCAGGTCGGAGGTGCAATTCACGATCAGCGTGACACCCAGCTCGCGGCCGCCGGCTTTCTGTGCCAGGGAGGCGAAGAGGAGGACATAAAAACGACGAGGAGGAGGATGAGGAGGACGAGGAGGAGGAAGAACGAACGAACGAACGACCACGAGTACGGACAGCAGTCCAGGCCTACTCGAGACCAGGTAAGTAAGGCCATGGCCTCCGAAATACGATTGTGTATGGTGAGGCCTGCATGCGAGACAGAGGACGATGAGGAGGAGGAGGAGGAGGGGGAGGAGGAGGAGGAGAAGGAAGAGGAACAGGAGGCGGAAAGCGACGAGGATGAGGAGGACGAGGTGTGGGAGCGAACAACAGGAATTGGGGCGGCCCCTGCCTGGCCAGCCGTGAGATACTGCCTTGTCGCCGAACTTGAAATGGACCGAGTCGTGAAATGGAGTCGGATCGAAAACGGATCGGACCGCAAGCGAATCGTTCCGAATCGAATCGAAATCGGATCGCCACGAGTTGCTCTGGCTGGCCCCAACGGATGCCGGTAAACCGACCAGAATCGGGTCGAGTCGGATTCGTGGCCCCCGCGGGCGAGTCGGATCGCATCGAAACAGATCGTAAGCGGCTCTGACTGCCCGGTCGCGCCTGGCAGGCTGTGAGCTCATTCGCCAGGGCATTGGCGGCCCTCGCGCTCAGATTGATCATTGAGTTGACTGAAGAGCTCGACCTCCCAATGCTCCATTGCTGGCCTCTTCAGGGGCTGTACGGCACGTGAGCCTGGGAGTAAGCTCTGGACGCCGGCGTTGCTCGCAGAGGCGGGAGAAGGGACCGCGATTTTGCAGCTCCTCTGAGGCCACGACCGAAGTCAGCGCGAATCTCTAACCCCCACCCCCAAACAACTGACTGGCGCTAGTCATACCGACCGCGGGAGTTCGATCAGGAGATCATTTTTTTATTCCGGCCGGTAACGCTCGTTACCCGGGGGGGGGGGGGGGGTCGTGCCCCCCGGGTAACGGTAACGCTTGGGCTGGGCGGGGTATGGCGAAGCAGGGGCGCTCTGCGATCGCCATAGTATGCGCGCGAGCAGCACTCTCTGCCTGAGAGCACCACAGTGGCTTGCGATTCGAGTACAAGCGCAAAGCCCGCCGCGTGGTCCCGGCACCACGCCCGCGCCCGCGCGCGCGACGACGATGATCGACGAGCGACGAGCGACGAGGTCGACGACGACGACGACGACGTTTGCCGCCTGTTTCGGCCTCCGGAGGCCGTTTTCGGGCGCCGTCGACGACGACGACGACGACGACGACGACGACGACGACGACGACGACGACGATTCGAGTACAAGCGCAAAGCCCGCAAGCACCAGCATCGCGCATGCGAGCGCCGCAATGGCCTGCGAGCGCCCACAGTGCGCCTGCGACCACCACACCACAGTGCGCATGCCTTCGGGCACCAGCATGTTGGAGGGGAAGACCGAGACCCCCCCCGCGTACGAGCGTTACCGTTACGGGGGGGGGGGGGGGGGAGAGGCCCGGGTAACGAGCGTTACCCCCCAGAGGATAAAAAAACAATCTCCAGCAGGGCATGTTCTTTCCTCTGGCAGGTTGGCGGCGGCACCGTCGCGAAAACTAGAACGGGACGCAAAAAAAACTATGAATTTGCACCCAGACTTGTGAATGAAGAGCACGCAGGGGACCGTAAATCGGCGAGCAACGAAGAAAACTGCACCAAATGTTGTGGATGAGTGACAGGCTGGCTCCGAGCCTGGGTGTGGAAGAGACGCGCCCCCTGTGGAGAGCGCGCGTGCAAGCGGCAACGATAACTAAACAAGGGCTCCAGGCCGAAAGGGCCTGGCGGATTGACCTTAAACCATCTTCTAAATCTCTCTGTCTCTATCTCTCTCTCTCTCTCTCTCTCCCTCCCTCAATCTCGGAATATTCCCACTCTCTGTCGTTCCTCTTTGGTCATCAGTCTCTCTCTCTCTCTCTCTTTTTGTTCTCGCTCCCTCTCTCTCTCTCTCTCTCTCTCTCTCCCTCCTTGAATTTCTGTATCTTGAATATCCAGAAGTGCGTCGAGGCTTGTGTTTGCCAATGTACGGAATCATTCGTGATAGTCCCCTTGCAGAGAAACCTGGCTGGAAAAGATGGATGCATGAATCCTTAGCGATGAAGCCTTAGTGGGGATTTCTTGATAAAAAGTCCTGAATTGAGAAGCCTGCAATCAATACACATATGCGTGACCCTTAGTACAAGATATGCTGGAATACATTCGTGGTGGGGAGATCCTGATATCAGAAATCATCATGGCGGAACCCTTTTTGTACATATGATTTCTACCACAGACTCCAAACTTTGGGGGAGGGAGCGTTCGCAAGAAACCCTCAGTACAGAATTTCCGATTCGGCTTTACGGGTAAATGTCTTTGAATAAGGAACCGGCATAAAAGAGCCCTTACCCATAAGTTGTGGTTGCGGGGCTCTTAGTGTGGCATCCTTAATAAAAGATCCACGGTGAGGATTCGTAGTGAAGGCTCCTTTTGTCAGGAATCCGTAGTAAGATGGTCCATAGTGAAGAATCCTTCGGGGAAAAGAAACATCTTCAGTAGGGAATTTTCGGACATGGGTCCTTCAGGGGAGATCCTTACTCGGGGGCCATCAGTACGGGTGCCATGATGCGGAATCCTTAACACAGGATCCGTAGAAACAAAAAAACTTCCTTCGTAAAGGATCCGAAGTGGATGGGTACCTTCGTAGGGATCCTTGCTGAGGAATATCGGATAAGAGCTCCTTGATCGGGAATCCTTGATCAGGGTTCCATATTCTAGAGCCCTTAGCAAGGAAATCGTATTAAAGAACCCATAATGGGAAAAAGGTTTCGGATGGAATCGGCCGTGCGGAATCCTCAATTCTGGTTAGTGGGTAAGCCCTTCTTTGCACGGAACCAAAAGAAGGGCAACATGATCAACGAACTCTTGGTAAGGGACCCTTTATTATGGCAGCGTTCGAACCGTGATCCTCAACCAGGAATATTGTGTCCTCAATCCATCGTCTGGGGGTCGTCAGTCGACCATTCCTGGAAAAGGGACTCTTCAGTAGGGGATCCATAAGAGTGGTTCACTATGAATGAACCGTTGGTCAGGAGGTGGAACCGCGATTTCGCATTCTCAGCAGTAAGGATGTCATCGTCAAAAACCATTGGAAAGGAGTCCTGAGTGGAGGGTCTTTAATAAGAAATCCTCCGTAGGGACACCTGCTGAGAAATATCTTGTAAGAGCTCCAGATTCAGGGCTTTTCTTAAGGCTTCCATACTATGGAACCCTTGGTGCGAATTTCTCTATACGGCATCCTTAGTCGGGAGCCTTCGGCAGCAACTCGTACTAAGGGGGAGCCCCAGGAACGGACTCATGATTAACAACTTCTCAGGACAGAACCAGGAAACATGATTCCTTATCAATGAGTTCTTGCTAGGGAATCTGGAGTCCGTGATGGGGAATCCTTCTGCACGGACACCTACTAGGGAATCCTTGGGCGGGGCTCCTCACTCACGAATCACTCGAGTTCCGGAATAAGGAACTCTTAGTAAGGAATCCGAATGCTGGAGCCCGGAATAAGGAGTCCTTGGCCAGGGATCGTTAACAAGGAATCCTGAATAGGGTATTCTGAATAGGGAGCCCTTCGTAAAAATGAATACGGAGACTTGGGAGGATGAAGCGGGGGAACGGTCCCAGGGAATAAGACGGCCCCTCTGGATCCACTGGTCTCGTTTCTTTTTGTCTGGGCCCGAAAAGCAAAGCGGGACCAGTCGAACCAGAAGGACAAGTTATTTGCAATGGGACCCTTCCCCAAGGGCCAGGCTGCCCCTCAAACGGAATGTGTGTGTGTGTAACCCCCCACAGAGGAGATCGATGTGTGACCCCACCCACACACAAAGGGAATCTGCAGGTAACACGCCACAAAAGATATTCATTGAACCGCCCACCCCCCACACACAAAGAAAAACAATCCGCGCGTCACCCAGAGAGAGAGGGACAGTGCGAGAGAGAGAGAGAGTGAGAGAGAGAAAGGGAAAGAGAGAAGAGAGAGAGAGAGAGAGAGAGAGAGAGAGAGAGAGAGAGAGAGAGAGAGAGAGAGAGAGAGAGAAGAAAGAGAGAGAGAGAGAGAGAGAGAGAGAGAAAACACAAGAAAATATATTCTCCCGCTCGCGCGCTAGCGAGCTGTCTCCGAGCGCGGCCGCGGCGCGCGCGCGCGGGGCGGCCCAAAATGGGCAGGCCCGTCCCGCGCGCTCGTGCCGGGGCGCCGCGCGTCAGGCGGGGGAGACCGCCTGCTCGCCGACGACGGCGAGGCAGCGCCCATCAGCCTTAGATTGGGAGAGGAGGGAGGGGGGCAGAGAAGCTGCGGAGACAGCAGGAGCTTGCTCACAGAGAATAGAAGAGGCATTCTCCCGCTCGCGCGCTAGCGAGCTGTCTCCGAGCGCGGCCGCGGCTCGCGCGCGCGGGGCGGCCCAAAATGGGCAGGCCCGTCCCGCGCGCTCGTGCCGGGGCGCCGCGCGTCAGGCGGGGGAGACCGCCTGCTCGCCGACGACGGCGAGGCAGCCATACCCGTGCTCAAGGACCTTGCGAAGTGACAAGGTTTCGGCGGGCGGCCGCAAGTAGGGCAGGCCAAGCGGCGGGGCCGACTTGGAGAAATGAAGCGACAAGGCGGTCGCTGGCGGTGGCGAAGAACAGGATCCGCGCCCGTGCGGGCACGGGCAGCGCAGCAAGAACTGTGGAAGCGGCGGCGGCTTGCAGGTAGCGCTCAGCACTGGAAGCCTGACGCCAACGCCCCCGCCAGAAGACGCGAGGGACGTCTTCCGTAGCGATATAGAAGTCTGTTGCGCCAGAGCCCCGCAGACATGCGGGCGTCAGGTTGAGCCCCTGACCCGCTTTGGCAAGAGGGACGCCCAGGGCCGAAAGCAAATGATTCCACCGAGTACGGAAGCCGCTCGCACCGAAAGGGGCGAGAGGATCGGTGGAAGCCAACCGCCCAAACACTTGATTCAGAATCTTCACC